GCCTTATGGCTAAATCTTTGTCCAGACCTCACATTCAAATGATTTCTGTCCCACATGGACTCTCATGTGTGAGTTTAATCTAGCCTTATATCTAAATCTTTGTCCACAGTCCACACATTCAAATGGTTTGTGTCCTGTGTGGACTCTCATGTGTGAGTTTAACCTAGTCTTATGTCTAAATCTCTGTCCACAGACCTCACATTCAAATGGTTTCTCTCCAGTGTGGATTTTTATGTGTATATTTAAATGAGTCTTCTGGATAAATCTTTGCCCACATACCTGACATTCAAATGGTTTCTCTCCAGTGTGGGTTCTCGTGTGCGTGTTTAAATGAACCTTATGGCTAAATTTATGTCCACAAACCTCACATACAAATGGTTTCTGTCCTGTGTGGACTCTCATGTGAGAGTTTAATTTATCCTTACGGCTAAATCTGTGTCCACAGTCCTCACATACAAATGGTTTCTGTCCTGTGTGGACTCTCATGTGAGAGTTTAAATTAACCTTCTGGATGAATCTTTGTCCACAGACCTCACATTCAAATGGTTTCTCGCTGGTGTGGGTTCTCATATGTGAATTTAAATGAGCCTTGTGGCTAAATCTATGTCCACAGACCTCACAAACAAACAGTTTCTGTCCCGTGTGGATTCTCATGTGAGAGATTAAATTAGCCTTATGGCTGCATCTATGTCCACAGACCTCACATTCAAACGGTTTCTCTCCTGTGTGAATTCTCATGTGTGAGTTTAAATTKGATTTTCTGATAAATATTTTACCACAATTATCACAACTAAATGATTTGGGTTCTGTCTGGACTTCTTTGTGTGACTCTACATGTTTTTTCTCTCTGACTCTTTTCTTATGACTCGAACAGTTTGAACGTCTTACTGTTGAATGATGTGTTRTGTGTCTCTGAAGAGACCGCTTGTGGAGAAATTGTTTACCACACTCAGAGCAGCTGAAACTGTTGTTGACACAGTTTACACCTGACTCCTTCCAGTCTTTGTTGCTGTCTTCAGTTTCTGATCCAGAGTCTGACAAGTGTTCCAGCTGAGAATCAGGACTGTTCCCATCTTCTTCCTCATCATCACTGACTTCAGTCTCTGAAGAGCTGGAAGCATCTCCATGAGGATTCAGATCTGGTTTCCTGCTGGTTTCTGCTCCTC